TTTAAGTAATAATACTTTTGCAATCCGTACATCCAATACGGAGAAATCCCACCGAATAGGAATGTGGTAAAACAGGGGGGCTTTAGCATCGCCTTAATAAAGAATTATGTTACGATAATAATAATAATAATAATGAATTATGTTTCGATTGTGTATCTTGAAATGTGGCGAAAATTAAAAAAGAGAGCAAATTCTTTAGAAAATTCGGATTTAATTAGTCAATACCTAGTGACGTTTGCTCACTTTTGTTACAATTTTCACCTCATTTCAAGATGCACAATCGACCACATGATCGATCATTCTAGAGAGCCTATAATCAGAGAGTCGCCAAATCATATCATTACATGTATACGATGATAAATCTCAATCAAGATTGCACTTTAAAAACAAAGAACCCAGAAAAACAATGTGGCGGAGAATAAGAAAAACACAGAAAATACGGACGTAAAAATGGATGTAAGTATTCACCGATATATATTTGGGCTATGGTAGAGAATGAACCTGTAACTGTTGTCAGGACATACGGCAAAGAAAAACGTACTGTTGCAGTCGTGAGTGATCAGGAATAATACACACATTCTCCTGATCAGTCATGACTGCGACAGCTACGTTCTTCTGTGCTTTATCCTACGTCATGACTAATAAGACATCTCACCTAACAAGTATAAGAACTCACTGAGCACTCACTAAGATTTTGCATCTGATTGACATACCTATTAGATCTAAAAAATATATGTAGTCAAACAGATACAAGAATTCACTTAGCGTTTTCGATTGGGCAAAAGTTAGTGCGCACCAGTGTGCACTCAGTTCACACCAACACTGGACGAGTTCCATGGGTTGCACTGAATAGTGCAAGTTGAAAAGAATACGCCAAGATTGTCAGTGCTAAAGCTGAAACTCATTTTTGTTCACTTTGAAGCAATGTTCAACAAAATGTTACAAAACCACAGTAAAAGATATTAAGAGTAGGGACAAGACCCCGTTTTCAATTCAACTGCGCAGATTTGCTTGTCCCTATGTATATCCTTAACTGTGATAAAACGTGCACTGAACTGGCACCGTCAAAATATCTCGTGCCACTTAGTGCGCACTGAGTGCGCACTACGCGAGTGTCGTGCGATCAAATGAACACGTGACACTAGCCAAGTGCGCATTGGCACTGCCAATCGAACACGCTCTTGACACTGAGTGCAGCCAGTGCACCCCAATCGAAAATGCTATAAGTGTTCAGTGATCAATCGTGCTTCTGAATGCACCCAGTACTCGCAGTACCTGGAAAACGGTAATGTCTTGTACACGGTGTCATGAAACTAATTTTTAATGTCATATTTTTTATTTTTATATAATGAATTTTTTTACAGAATTGTTAAAGCTATTGATACTTGGTCAGAACAGATAGTAAATGATCACTACGCTGAGAGATTATAATTTGACATTTATTAATATGTGTGTGTGTGTGTGTGTGTGTATATATATGTATATCTATAATTTCATACTTAATATTTCAATATTTTTGTAGTCAGACGATAACGATGAACTGTCGAAAGCAATGGATTTTTTAATAAATGATATATCGACTGAACAACATCGTCCTACAACAGCAGCATCTATACAGTCATCTGTAAGAATTTTAACACTTTAATTTCTCTTATGTTCTCTCCTCTCTCTCTC